ATATATGGTAGTTCATAAATACACAGCGTATGGACCAAATGAATATAATTTATATTCTTGGAAGAAAAAAAATCATTAGACATGAAATAAAATATCAGTGAACACAGTATATGGCTCAACTGTGAATAACATTTATACAGTCAAAGTAATATAAACACTGAAAATGGATTTAACTAAAATATATAACTATATTGGGAGAATAAAGGGAGTGTGTGTGTGAGTGTGAGTTGTGTGTGTGTAAAGGATACAAAAGATTCAATCCTGACTTTTCACATTAGGACCGTAACGGTGGTATCTAAAACTGAAAACTGAAAACAAAGTAACAGTGTGAGCGAGAGAGTTGACATAGGAAGGCGAGGCCCTGAAGAAGCAGTTAACAAGGTGGAAAGTGGCCTCAGCTGGGGAGTCGGGCAGTGTGACCCAGGGCCTGCTGTTTTCCTTTGTGATGAGTTCATACTATACAATTACGTGACTTGTTAAGAAATCAAGACACAGTTTCCATATAGTAACAATATGAGTTTGATGATTTGATTTTGCATATTATGTTGGTTCATAAATTTGTTTAAATTTTAAAATAAAGCAAACAAACGCATTCCACTCCTCTGAAACGTTTTGGGGCATGAAGGTGTGCCGGGGTTGAGAAGCCCTGCTGGGAAGCCCTGGTGAGAGTCTGCAGGGGCCTCCCTGGCCAGAAGAAGGGACCACTATTTGAACCAGCCCACGCAGTTTATATTGAGTTCTAAGACAGGCACTTTTCCCAGCTTGTGGGTTGTATATTTTTAAAACACTCCTTACCTTCTTCCATTTTTGCATTTGAAATGAGCATCTGTCTCAAATGCTTGAGGAGGCCTGCCCAAGTAAATGTGCTGTATGCCAGCGAGCTCTCAGACATTTGAGGAATGCTACGCACACCCAGCATCTTGAATTCAGGATGGGGAACTAAAATCTCCATTAAGTCTCCTGTTGGGATAAAAAAAAAAAAGGACTGAGGCATTTGGATTATGGTATTGGCAAAGGACATTCAAAGTCCCATGGGCTGCCAGAAGAACAAGCAAATCTGTCTTGGGGGAAGTGCAGTCAAAATACTCCTTAGAAGCGAGGACAGGAGGGCTTCATCTCAAGGACTTTGGACCTGTTACCAGGAGACCAGCCCCCGGGAAAGGACAGGACACCCAGGCAAGTACATAGGCGGCAGAAAATCAGGAAAACCCTCAACAAGATACAGTGACATGGTGGCTACCCCAGTGGGCTGGAGGATGGAGGGGCCCCGGAAGGTGGCGTTTCAGTCGGTTGTGTGTGAGGCTGCTAGGAGTGTGAGCGTATTGGATGGCAGCCACAGCAGCAGCACAAAGAAACAAACCACATGTAGCAAATATTTCTGAAAACGAATGCAGGCATGATCATCTAGCTTTCCTATTCAACTACTTCTGCCACAATCATTCTCTGACCCCAGGGGAACCCTAATCCTATCCTTTTCAATCTACTGGCCCATTGCTTAGAGCAGCGGTTCTCAACCTGTGGGTCTAGACCCCTTGGGGGTGGCAGACCCTTTCACAGGGGTTGTCTAAGACCATCAAAAAACACGGATTTCCAATGGTCTTAGGAGGCACCGCTCCTCTATGGTCTCCAGGCAGGTCCACCCACATGCAGATATGCTGATCTGGTGAGAAAGAAGCTATCTCAACCGTCACACTGAAGTTGGCTTCTTACGCATACTGTTATAAAATGTAGCAATGTAGTTTACTGTAACAGTCTTTACCTGGGGGGGGGGCAGGGGGGAAGGGTAAAAAAAGAGGAGCTGATCCCTAGGGCTCAATGGAAAGTCAATGTCTAGCAAAGAACGATGGAATATATGTATGACTATGTCAGATATAATTGATGTATGGTTTGTCACAAGAGTTGGAAGAGCCCTCAATAAAATGATTTAAAAAAAAAATCAGAAAGAAAAGGACTGTTACCCATGCTACACCATGCTTCAAGACAGAATTTCATTTATTTTTAATTAGAAATAAATATTTCACAGTATGTAATTACATATTGTTTTTGTGATGAATCACTATAATTATGTTTAATTTGTAACAATGAAACTACATCCTGCATATCAGATATTTACATGATAATTCATAGCAGTAGCAAAATGACAGTGATGAAGTAGCAATGAGAATAATGTTATGGTTGGGGGTCACCACTACATGAGGAACTGTATGAAAGGGTCAGGGCATGAGGAAGGTTGAGAACTGCTGACCTAGAGAATCATAGCAGATAGTCACTCCTTAAATGAGATGAGCTCCCAGGGCACTTAAAGAGGTGGCAATGAACTGCCCGACAGGTGTTTCCTGGCTGTAAGTTGTTATGGAAGCAAACGGTTTCTTCTGGCGCCTGGAGAGTGAGTGGCTGGAGTGCCAGTCTTTTCATTGACAAAGGGAGGCTCAATACTGGTGCCACCTGGTTCCTGGGTCTTAGGTTAACAGGGTTAAAGCGGACTCAAGGGCTTATGCAATCAGCCCTTGCCTACCACTCTAGCCTCACTTCAATCACAACCCAAACCACTCTCTAGAGTCCTCTCAATTCTTGTTGTGCTAGATTTCCCTGTGCCACGGGGTCTTTGCACACATCTTCTCTCTGCTCGCAGCATTCTTCTCTTACTCAGTTCCTCGTGTGATGCAGCTCCTGGCTCCAGGGTCATTTCCTCAGGGCAGTCTTCGATAGACCTTCATTCTAGGTCAGTTTCCTTTGTGATTCATTCTCTTGGACTTGAACTCCTTTCCTTCAGAGCATTCAACCAGCTCTGCAATGATGTATTCTTGGTGTGATTGTTTGATTGATGCCTTCCTTTCACAGCGAACCCGGCTATGCTGGCTCACTACTGTACCCCCTGATGTCTAACACAGTGCCTGGTACACAGCAGGAAGTCAAATGCTTGGTGAATGTGTGAGAAGGTGTGAACCCAATATGCTAAGGCCTGTGGGGGTGGGGGCATAGAAATGAAGAAGACGCATGTCTCCAAGGAGGCTGTCAACAAGAGGGAACATAAACCATCCACTTGGCAGAGTCCCTCTCTAAGGAAACACATGGAAGGAGGGGCAGGGTCTATGAACAGAGCATCTGACTTTAGCACAACCCACAGTTACAAACCAACCCCTCTCTAGACTCCAGGTACACACAATGGTCCGTAATAACAGGCACCGTTTTATGACAGTGCACCAAAACATGATTATAACTGTATTGTATGTTAGAGAGTTTCCGTGTGTCCGCAAGCATTTCTTTCATTTAGTTACGTATAGAAAGGTACAGCTTGTAGAAAGGTGTATGTTATATCACGCTGTTGTTGTTTGGTGCCATGGAATTGCCTCTGCCCCATAGTGACCCTGTGACAGAAAGAGCACTGTGCGATCCTGCCCCATCCTCACAAGTGTTCTGTTTGAGCCCCTGGGGCAGCCACTGTGGTCAGCGCGTCGAGGGCCTTCTGCCTTTCCGACCACTCGCTACTTTACGAAGCACGGTGACGTCCTTTCCAGGGACCGCTCTCTCCTGCTATCATGTCCCAGGTATGTGCGATGACGTCTCACCAGGCTCACTCTGAAGAAGCATCCTGGTTCCACGTCCTCCAACACAGACTTGTTTGCTCTATGTGCACTGCATGTTAAAACAAACGTTGGACGAACCGTTGCGAGATAGGAACTTAATCTAGCTGTGGGGATTTACGTACACGTTCCACATAAGGACAGATGTAGGAATGACATTTACTTGTCATTCTCGTTGGTGATCTGGGGACTGCCTGTACTCTGACGGCATATCCTCTGTACCTCTTCACTTGATTGTAGCCAAAAGGCCGAGGGGCTCCTTTGGTGCTTCTTAAATAAATATGTGTGTACGACTTATAGAGGGAAGCACACACGCTCGGGGTGGGAGTGGGGGTGGGGAGGGCAGCAAAAAACAAACAAAACCAAACCTGTTAAGAACATCGAAGAGAAAGAAAATGCCATGGAACTTCAGAGGAAAAACAGTTTCGTCTTACTACAGTCCGCACAAGAGTGTTTCATGGAGAATTGTCATTTGACTTGGACCCTGACAGTTAAGTCAGATTTCACTGGAAGGACCAAGGAAGGTGGGAGCAGCTCCTAAGGGCAGAGAACGCTGAGCCATATGGGGCAGGGACCAGGGTCAGAAAGTACTACCGGTTGAAGAATGGCAATTAGTTGACGTAGGATGAAAGGTAAGAGAGGAATCCAGGTAGAGGAGATGAAGCCACAAGGTCAGGGTTTGGGGCACTTTGAAGAGGCCAAGGAATGCCAGTCTAAGGAATCCGGACAAAGCCACCATGAGCCCTGAACTTCGAGGGCACGAGGATTAGGATTATGCTTTGAGGAAGCTCATTGGCAGCCAGAGTACAAGGAGATGAGGCAGGCAACAGGGAGAAAAAAACTTTTGTTTGCTTTGTAGCTGTGGGGTGTATGGCTATGTTGGGGATCCCTGGGAAGGACACGTGTTTTACCACTACTGAAGGTTGACAGTTCGAAGGCACCCAGTGGCACCTGGAGAGACAGGCCTGGGGATCACAACCTTGGAAACCCTGTGGACCCTGCACACACTTAGGTCACCCCGAACCGGCTCAAGTAATAACCACTGCTATATTAGCCGAGAAACACTGAGGCCCTGAGCCAGTGTTGGGAAGCTGGGGAACCGGGAGACAAAAGCCAGACTGATGGCAGAGATGGCACTGGCAAGTTGGAGGAGGGTACTGATGCGAAAGGAAGACAGTGTGAGAAATCTGAGGGGTCCGAATAGGGAACTGAGAGAGGAGCTGGTTTGGGAGATGGGTGAAGGGGAGAAAAGCCCCACAAAAGAAAAAGACGAAAGACAAAAGCACCCTAACTTAAGCAGAAGGAGACCACTAGAAGACGGCTATGTGGTTGAGGTGCTCTTTAATAATAAAAAATAAAGTATGTGTTCATTTGGGGAGCCCTTGTTGGCTCCATAGTGTAGTTGGCTATGATCTTTAAGGAAGCGAATTGCCGGGCCTGGTTGGTGGTGCTGTAGAATTACCAATGGGCTGCCAACTGCAAAATTGGTGGTTCCAAACCCATCGGCAATGTACTAACAATTCCTCGGGAGAAAGATGAGGCTGTCTGTGACCTTAAAGGTTTTCTGTCTTGGAACCCTGCATGGGGTTACGAAGAGTTAGTAGGTTTGCTTTTTGGTTTGGTTTGGGCGGTTCAAACCACCACCCTCAGGTTACCAGCTGACCTTTAACACCACCCTGGTATTTTAAGAGATAGCTCTTTGGGAAAGAGATTAGAATTGCTGGAAAGATAGTAGTCATTTGTGCTTAGATTATTTGAATGGACAAGACACCACTTAATAAATTAGGGCTGAAGAAAGAATGGTAGGAAAAGTAATGTGTGTCTGAAGAGCAGAGGGGAGCACACATGGTCAGAAACCACGCGAGAGCAATTCGAGAGAGAAGAGACTACACACACTCCGCTGCGGAGTGGGTTCTGACGTCTAGCGACCCTGCAGGGCGATAGAGCTGACTGTGGGCTTTTGAGACGGTCCCGACTGCAGTCGAAAGCCTCGTCTTTCTCCTGTGGTTTGGAACTGCTGACCTTGTGGTTAGCAGCCCAGTGTGTAACCACTACAGCACCAGGGCTCCTAGAGAACAGATTAGGGATAGGGAAGTCCTTATGCTGACAAGCTGAGGAAGAATGCCGAAGGAGGAAAATGTCAGTTATAAGGAATGAACATCAGAATTTTTGGTAAATGGATTTATTGGATGGTGTAAGTTATGCCAAAAAACCCACACACACGGGTGGGGGAGGGAGGGGATAAAGGAGAGCTGATATCAAGGAATTCAAGAGAAAAGAAAATGGACTGTAAATGATGATGGCACGATTCTACAACTGTGCCTGATCTAATGAAACTATGGAGTGTAATAATATCTGCAGGAGCTCCCAATAGCATGTTAGAAAGAAAGAAAATGCTGTCGGCTGTTGAGGTGAAGAGAAGCCCTCTAGATTTGGAGATGGAAATCGTGCTGAATAAAGAGCGAGAAAGCCAGGGGATGAGGCACAAGAGAGGAAGGCACATCCTCCAGAAGGCGAAACGACAACCCCTGGATTGGGAGCTTCTGTTCCTTTTCTTCTTTTGGCAGATCGTGAACCTAGTGAGGGCTGGCATCCAGAATAGAGAGTCCCTGCATGGCACAAAGAGCTCAGACAGTGGCTGCTAACTAAAAGGTAGGCTGCCCGAGTCCACGCTGAGATGTCTCGGAAGAAAGGCTGGGCAGTCCATCTCTGAAAAGTCGGCCAGAGAAGACCCTGTGGAGCATGGTCTTTGAGTTGGAATCGACCCAATGGCAGCTCGTGAAATTTGGGACATATGACAAACCCTAACAACTCAGCAGTAAAAAGGACAGACAGCCCAATTAAAAAATGTGCACAGAATAAACCCACAGGCTTTTGGAAGAGGAGACTGTCACACAAATCATATGGAGGAGGCTAAGGGGACACTTACCCAATGGGCTTCTTCTATAGTGAAATGAGCCCTCAGCAGAGTAAGTCGGCTGGAACATACTTCCCAGCTGATGTGCGAGGACTTGATTTATATCGCTAAAGGAGATCTGTCTGATGTTCATCCGTTTCTCACAGATCTTATGGATAGCATCGTTGTCGTGGACAAGGAGGGCATCTGAAGATCGGTACAAGTGAGAAAGAGTCAAAATGGAATTGTAGTTCTGGACAACAACCTGGAGAGAGAAAAGCCAGAAATCAGCAAGGCAGGAGCGAACAGCGGTCAAGAGCACACACTCTAACAACATCCTGCCTGGATTCACCGCCTGACTCCATCACTCTCTAGCAAATAACGCTGGGCAAGATAACCAGCCTCTCCATGCTTCTGCTTCCTCATTTGTTAGAAACAAAACAAAGCAGCTCATTGCTATCAAGTTGGTTCTGACTCATGATGACCCGATCTGACAGGTAAGATGAGGATAACAATTAACCAGTCTCTAAGAGTTTGAAAAATTCATGATATAATGCAAGTAAAACACTTATTATCATCACATTTCTTTCCTCCAGGGAGCCCTGAAGGCCCAGTGGCAGCACTAGGCTGCTAACCATAAGGTGAAACCCACCAGCAGCTCCAAAGGAGAACGATGTGGCAGTCAGCTTGACAGGGGTGGGGTGGGGGAATGGGAAGCTAGTAATAATAATAATAATAATAAATATAAGAATGACGGAAATGTCCTAAAACCGATTGTGGTGAGGATTGCATAACCTTTCAAAATGTTGAAAATACTGAATTGTATGGCACGTGAACCATATAATTGTCAATAAAACTGCTAAAATTTAAAAAAAGAAAAAAAGGTTACAGCCTGGGAAAGCACTACCCGGTCCCATAGTGTTGCTATGAGTTGGAAATGACTTGAGGGCAACAGTGGGATTTTCCTTCCTATCCCATTTCCTACAGTGAGTTCTCTTTTACTGATTCTCTTACTAGTGGCTTCTACACTAACTTTTTCTCCATGGAAAGAAAGAAAAAGTATTTGAAGCTTGGCAGTGGCTCCGGGTACTCCAATGTGATGACAGGTCCCGTGGGGTCCTCAGAAAAGATATACAATTGTCTACTTTGGAAATTTTAAAAACAAGGACACCTTGGTTACTTAGGAAAGTTCTCTCAATGTCAACTATACTTGTGAAAGGGCCATGTTTTATCATCACTCCTCAAGCTGTAACTTAACATTTCCAGAGACAAGATGAGAATCAATTCCGCGCCCCCCCCCATTTATTTCGATTACAAAGAATGCAAAAAATAAATATGTCAGGTAATGAGTTCATACCTCACCAGTTCCATAAGGCCATACAACCTGATTCATTTTCAAGGACTTTGGGAACTGATCTTGTAACTTCTGGGTAATGAAAGTTCCCAGACCTGATCCTGTGCCCCCAGCCATACTCATTATGATGGAAAAACCACTCAAAGAGTCACATTTCTCTACTTCTTTCTGAATTAGGTTCATTATAGATTCTTCATGTCTGGGTCCATGAACAGAGTACCTAGGCAATGCATAAGAGATACATATAAATACTTCTAAGATTAACCAGAGAGCTGCAATGCAGAAAGACAAGGGAGGGTGTTTCAAAGCTGTATGAGTGAACTAATGGTTATGAAAGGTCAAGGGTTCCTGAATGGCAGAATTAAAACACACACAAATATGTTTAGCAGGCGAGTCGAACTGCTGGAAGAGTGCATTTTCTAGGTGGAGGGGAATGCTCTTTTGTGCAGTGGTTGTGACACGAGAGTGAAGAAGGTGGAAAACCCTGGTGTGGGAGATCCTTGGTTTTATCGGGCTTTGTACCTTATGCACCGACAGAGTCAAGGAAGGAGAGGTCTTTTTTGGCGAATTCAAACAGGATATTTTAGCTGGAACTTCCCTGACCAGGTAGTCCTGCAAGTTTGGGTTACAATGTGATCCTGAAAAGCACTGTCCTACGCAGTGGTTCTCAAGCTTTGCTGTACTTTAAAATCACCTGGAGACCTTTAAAAACATCCCAACATCTGGACTTCAATCCAACCCAAGTAAACTGAAATCTATTGGCCTGAGTCCTAGGCATCGGGTTTTCCGAAGATTTCCAGGGAATTTTTATGTGCAACAAAGTTTCAGAACAACTGCCTTGGGTAGTATTTCTACCCAAGAATCCAGACTACTTGCCAAATAAAGATCATGTACTGACAATCAGCTAGTCAGTGGAATGACAGTAAAGAAGGTAGAAAATGAGTTTCTTCTTCTTCTTTATTTAGTCATTTTATTGGGGGCTCATACAACTCTTATCACAATCCATACATACATCAATTGTGTAAAGCACATTTGTACATTTCTTGCCCTCATCATTCTCAAAACATTTGCTCTCCACCTAAGCCCCTGGCATCAGCTTTTTTTCCCCCGCTCCCGCTCCCCTACCCTATGAACCTTTGATAATTTATAAATTATGATTTTGTCATATCTTACACTGTCTCCCTTCACCTACTTTTCTGTTGTCCATCCCCCAGGGAGGAGGTTATATGTAGATCCCTGTAATCGGTTCCTCCTTTGCACCCCACCCTCCCTTCAGCCTCCCAGTATCGCCACTCGCATCACTGGTCCTGAAGGGATCATCCGTCCTGGATTCCCTGTGTTTCCAGTTCCTATCTGTACCAGTGTACATCCTCTGGTCTAGCCAGATTTGTAAGGTAGAATTAGGATCATGATAGTGGGGGATGGGGAGGGAGGAAGCATTTAGGAACTAGAGGAAAGTTGTATGTTTCATCGTTGCTACACTGACCCTGACTGGCTCGTCTTCTCCCCACGACCCTTCTGTAAGGGGATGTCCAGTTGCCTACAGATGGACTTTGGGTCTCCACTCCACACTACCCCTCATTCACAATGATATGATTTTTTGTTCTTTGATACCTGATACCTGATCCCTTCTTTTGAGGGAATTCAAACAGTAACATTTTAAAGTAGAAATTTCATGATTGTGTTAGGTGTATCAACTATACAATTGTAACTGCACTGACTATTAATCAACAATGTAGCTGAAACTAAATTGCAAAGTATGTGGAACTATATGGAATGATCCTTACCCATATGCCCAGTTGTTTCCTGAACCTTGTTTCTGACAGAAGCAGGCATGTTGACTATATTTCCATCGGCCAGCCTGGGAAGCCTTTAAAAGTGTCTGATTGATAACTTTAGGTTCCATGTCAACAAGGACAGCCCGGGCAACTAGATCTAGGCAGGGGTAAAAAATCAAAAGGAAAATATTTTATGTTTTATTTGGGTTAACAGCATAAACTTCTACAAACAATGAAACAAACATATCCAGCTATCATTTGATATCAAGGTGGGCAGCAGCAGGTATCTGCAGATGGTTCATTGTTACGAACCTAGCATTGTAAACGGCCTATTATTTAATTTGCAACTTAGTTACGGCAACATTGTACAATGAAGCAAAACAGGGGTGGACTCAAATTTGTAAAATGTGGGTGAACTGGAATGGTAACCAGAATGGAAAAATTACAAGTGAACTTACTTTAAGAAACTCCATCCCCCTTTTAGAAGGCAAAGGCAGCATGTGCTTTGCATTGCAAGCAATTTTATTGGTCAGCAGTAATGCCCTGCACAAATAGGGTGACAGAGCATACCAACCTGAATGTGTGTTTCGCTTCATTAGCTGTGACTGAACTGGGGAGCACTGGTGCTAAGGCCTGGTTTGAGGTACCTGGGAAACACACGTAGTGATGTCTACTTATCTACCCACGGATTGCAAGAGATCCACACTGGAGATTTCAGAGTCACCCCTTTAGTAAGTGTTAAGAGTGAGTGAAACTGCCCAGAGAGAACTACACAAGCGAGGATGGAAGACAGATTCAGACGGAATCACTTGGATGAGAAGGCAAGAAGTTAAGAAGAGCATTTTAGTCCACAGATAAAAACCGTTGGTTTTGTTGTTTTAGATGGTTGAGAGCTGATCATGCACATGTGCTGAAGGAAAGATGCCATGGGCGAGAAAGCGCATGTTAGGGAAAGAACAAATGGGAGAGAGCAAAGTGAGGTCCCTAGAAAGGGGGGGAGAGATGGGCTCAAACACCAAGTGAAGGGCTGGGCCTTAATGAGGTTGGCTACCTGTAGTAAACCAATAACCTAGAGAGAACACATACCTCCATTTCCCTCCTCACTGAAGAATCTTTCTTTGCAAGATGCTTGATATGCCTCATTCTCTTTCTTAGAGCAGAGACCCGGCGAACAGTATGAATCACTAAATAAAGCATCAAACACTTCAAAACCAATCTGATTGCCACACTGACCCAGTTGCACTGTTAGTATTGACATGCTGAGCCACAAAGTCCCACCAAGAAATGAGCAACCTGCAAGAGAAAAACATAAGCTTGGAGATGCTGCAATGCCTAAAGAACAAATGAGAAAAACAAAAAGCAAGTGAAATGCTCTGCATATACCTTACACTTCAATAAAATGTTTTTTAAATGCCATATATACAAGCCATGTATATACAGTGAACCCTCGTTTATCGCGGTTAATCGGTTCTAGACCCTACCGTGATAAATGAAATTCCGCGAAGTAGGATTCC